TGGAAGTTTGTCCCCCACGATTGCAAAAAATAAAGACTGACTAGTGAAACAATTTGCTGGAAGAACTAAAGCTACCACTTAAATTCAGACCAGCAGACACTGGCTACTCTGTTTTCAGATTTTAGGGATGGTTCCCTTACTCCTGAAGGTTGATGCGGCACTCCGGGTGTGCCTGACTTCCGAGGACCGGCCGGCTCTTCTAAACACTGTTCACTGGATCCTTTCATTTTTACAGTGGATCTCTCCAGCTCCAAGACTAGCGTTCGCTGTAAACACCATTTATTTATTTATTAAACCAAGTTATAGAGCTGCCCAGCTCACCCATAGGGGCATCTGGGTGGCTTACAACGTTAAAAATATGTAATAATTATAATCCACTATATTTTAAAAAAACATAAAAAGCCCCACCCCCACCTCCCATGGCAGCAATGATTGGCCCAAAGTCACCCAGCTGGCTTTCTTGGCTAAAGTGGCACTAGAATTCACTGTCTCCTGGTAATTGGCCCAGTCACCCAACTGGCTTTCATGGCTAAGGCGGCACTAGAACTCACCGTCTCCTGATGATTGGCCCAAAGTCACCCAGCTGGCTTTCTTGGCTAAGGTGGCACTAGAACTCACCGTCTCCTGGTGATCGGCCCAGTCACCCAACTGGCTTTCATGGCTAAGGCGGCACTAGAACTCACCATCTCCTGGTGATTGGCCCAAAGTCACCCAGCTGGCTTTCTTGGCTAAGGCGGCACTAGAACTCACCATCTCCTGGTGATTGGCCCAAAGTCACCCAACTGGCTTTCATGGCTAAGGCGGCACTAGAAGTCACCATCCCCTGGTGATCGGCCCAGTCACCCAACTGGCTTTCATGGCTAAGGCGGCACTAGAACTCACCATCTCCTGGTGATTGGCCCAAAGTCACCCAGCTGACTTTCTTGGCTAAGGTGGCACTAGAACTCACCGTCTCCTGGTGATCGGCCCAGTCACCCAACTGGCTTTCAAGGCTAAGGCGGCACTAGAACTCACCGTCTCCTGGTGATCGGCCCAGTCATCCAACTGGCTTTCAAGGCTAAGGCGGCACTAGAACTCACCGTCTCCTGGTGACTGGCCCAAAGTCACCCAGCTGGCTTTCATGGCTAAGGCGGCACTAGAACTCACCATCCCCTGGTGCCTTAACAACTAGACCAAACTGCTAAATTGATGGATGGTGGCATTCAAAGTTGCCATTGCAGCCCAAAGCATCCTCTTCACAGCCCACCAACTGGTCATAAATGCGTGATGTGCAACTCTCCAGAGAGCTTCCAACTGGCTGGAATAGAGTAAAATGCACTGTTTCTCTATTGCGTGTCTTCTGTATTTTGGATGACAAAAAATCTGGATGTTTTTTTGCCCTCCCTGGCAGTGAGGAAAGCATCTGCCACACAATCCATCTTGGTCTCCTAGAAGCTGGAAAGACATTTGTAAGGACTGAGGAAAGAAACCCCCTCCTCTCCGGTCACAGTCAACCTCGTGGGCTGCTGCTAGTTGGATCCAGATGTTGAGCTGGGGACTCCCCCAAACATAATACAGCAAGGAGACTCTGGGCCACATGTTCTCCAGCACAGCAGCCGTGGGACGCCCTGTGCTATCCGTAGGTGGCCTGCTGGGAAGAGCATGGGAAAAGCACTGCAGGAGAAATTCTCAAGTCTGGTTTTAATCATCCAGGCACATACTCTGCTGATAAGGTCTCCAAGGATACCATTCAGAGGGAGAAGAGAGTGGGGTGTTCGGTTGGGGTGTCGCTCACGAAGCCAGCTGAATCTAGGAAATCAGCAGGAATTCAGAGGGAAAACTTGGCGTCTTCTGCTCTGGGAGAGGACAATCAAACTTGAGTTGGCCCAGAGCACTTTTTATTAATTAGTAGACTCCAAAGTCATGTTTCATTAATTTCAGTCTACGTGGGGATGGGAATAGGGATCAGATTGAGACCAAAACCTTCCTCTTCTGGGTATTTCTTCCTTAACTTCCGCCTTCTCCAAGATGTAATTATTTTTCTGCAGGCAATGCTCACAGATCTTTTCCACTTTTAGGGAAGGTTGTCAGCCACCAAACCTGGTGACTCCATCAAGAAGGAGAAACTTTGCAGTCCTCTCACCCCCTTCTAGGATGCCTCTGAGATGATTCAGACCCTCACAGTCAAGAAATATTCAAGCTACAACCGTCTTTCAATGCAGATTGATCTCAACTTCAGACTGGATCTGGTCGTCTAAGTCAGGGGATAGCCAAGGTTTAAGACTTGGGGACTTCAATACTGTTCTCGTAGACCAGGGGGCTCCAAACTTGGCAACTTGAAGACTTGTGGACTTCAACTCCCAGAATTCCCCAGCCAGCATGGGGAATTGACCTCTCAGCTTGGCTGGCTGAGGAATTCTGGGAGCTGAAAGTCCACAAGTTTTAACATTGCCAAGTTTGAATAACAGAATGCCAGAGTTGGGAGGGAGCTTGGAGGTCTTCTAGTCCAACCCCTTGCTCAAGCCAGGAGACCCTCTGCCATTGCAGACAAGTGGCTGTCATCTCTTCTTAAAAATCTCTGGTGATGAAGCACCCTCAAGGCAAGCAGTTCCATTGGTTAATAGTCATCATTGTCAGGAAGTTTCTCCTTAATCCTCAAGGTTGCTTCTCTCCTTGATTAGTTTCCACCCATTGCTGCTTCTCCTTCCTTCAGATGCTTTGAAGAACCCTGGTCTAAGTGAACGGACCCTTTAAAACACAAAGCCAATTAAATCAGAGAACTTGACTCTGGGTTTATTATTTTGACAATTGTGTGCATAAGGGAACTTCATGAGTTGGAATGCCCAAAAAAAAGCATCTGGTTGGGATCCTCCTTCAAAAGCCGAGAGTCTCTGTCCATTGACAATTTAGCCTGTGGATTGTTCTTCTGAGAACAAAGGTCCTGCTGAGATCCTGCAGTAGGTGCCCTGCCGCTGATCCACAGCTCTCTTGCAATTGGCTCCCAATCCCCACAAAACTTCCTTTTTGGAGAAGAAACACATTCCTAGGAAAAAGGCTTGGCTTCTCCTGTGACCTGATGGTTTTTGGGTTCCTCCTTTTTTAAAAAAACAAAAAACCTCCTTGGAGCAACGTCAAAGATGAGCAGAAGAGGGATGGAAAATCTCAGCCCAGCACAAAAAGTGAGGTTAGGCAGGGGTCTTCAAACTTGGCCCTGTTATGACTTGTGGACTTCAACTGCCAGAATTCCTCAGCCAGGCACGCTGGCTGAGGAATTCCGGGAGTTGAAGCCCACAAGTCATAAAAGGGCCAAGTTTGAAGACCCATGGATTAAGGCCATCAAGATGGTCAAGGACAGCAGAGCCCATCAGCCAACCAGCATCCTGCTGGTGAGGAATGTTATCAAACCATCTATCAATGCTAACCAAGCTTGAAAAGGTTTTCGAGGAATAAGGTGTTTTGGCTCCCAGGAGCATCCCTCTTTCTGTTCTCTGCAGAAAGCAGGATTTGTCCCTCAAGCACTTCTTGGAAGCAGCCAGCCAAATCTGAAGCTGGAAGCCCCTCCTGTCTTACACTGATGATGTTACCTAGTTGGGTAATGAAAGGACTGCAAGAAAACAACCCAGCTCAGAAGAAGAAACCAGCATTCCCACCCACAGGAAAAGCCACTTGTACATAAACTGAGAGCAAACCCCACTTCCTCCTAGCACTGATGCTGTGACCTAGTTGGATCATGAAAGGTCTGCAAGAAAGCCACCAAGCACCCCACAGTTCAAACCCCAGCGACAAATACTCTCTTCTGCTGGGTCTCCAGGACAGACCACCAGCTTCCCAATGGAGCATCTGCCACCGTGCAGATTGTGGACTTCTCCCAGTTCAGCTGCCCCTATTTTTCCAGGGCAAAACCGCTCCCGGTTGAAGTCTTGTCAACTTCTGTTTTTTTATTTCGAGCACATGTGGAGGAACAACTGGACCGGGCCCCGTTTGCTTCCAGCTACTAAGTGGGACTCTCATTTCTCGCTGAAGAACGGAGCAGCCTCAGGAGATGGTTTAAATCAGTGGTTCTCAACCTGTGGGTCGGGACCCCATTTGGGGTCGAACGACCATTTCACGGGGGTCGCCAAACAACGCAGTCCGCCATTTTTTTCCCCTTTTCCTTAGCTGTGCTACTCCCTTTTATTCTATTGGCTTTTGAAAGCCAATAGAATAGTCTCTCTTGAATAGAGTCTAATTCTATTGGCTTTCAAAAGCCAATAGGAATGGTCCAGGCTGTCTCTGCCCTGCTGAGCCTGCCAAAAGTCCCATCCTGCAAACGGTGCTGCACCAGTTGAGTAGTCCTCGACTTACGACCGGTTGAGTAGTCCTCGACTTACGACCGGTTGGGGGGTCGCGGCATTAAACAGGTTGAGAACCACTGGTTTAAATTAAAGAAAAAAAGGGGTCTCTTCTTCCTCCCTAGAAACGGGCGCCCACGCTCTATTCCCCCCCACCCTTCGCTCCCTTCCAAGTTTTCTGACGTTCACACGACCCTCAAACCTTCCCCACCCTTCCCAGCCTCGCAGTGTGCGTTCGCACTACAGAGCCGCGACGCAAAGCAACCCAGCCCCCCCGGGCAAGCCTCGCGCAACTCCCCCCCCCCCCGAAACTCTAGGCAGGCTAAGCGCCACGTGGGAAGCCGGCCTCCCCTCCCCTCCCAACTCCCCTCCTCTCCCTCCTCCCCGGCGGCGAGGGCGGGTATTCTCCAGCCGGGCCCCCTCCCGTCCCCCTTCGCAGCCCCTCTCCGGCCCAGCCGGGGGGGGGAGAGGAAGGGGGGGCGCCTGCAGCTTTAAGGCTGCTCCTCGCGGGTCGCGGCGCGGGGCAAGGCGGCGAGCGCGGCCGGGGGCGCCCCGAGAGGGGTCCGGGCAGGGGTCGGCGGAGCCCCGCAGCTGCCAGCCGCCGAGGAGGCGGGTTCCCAGAGCGGTCCGCCCTCCCGCCCAGCCCAGCCCAGCCCAGCCAGCCGGCAGCCGCTCTCCTCCCGCTTCCCCCCCCCCCACTCGCGCCGCGCAGCCAGCAAACTTCGGGAAAGTTTTTTCCGCGCGGCGGCCGGAGCAGCGCCCGGGGCTGAGTCCCGTCTCTGGCCGTCCAGCCGCTTTGCGCTCCGGCCGGGGATGCCCGCTCGGGCCAGTTGGGACGGCCGGCTGCCCGCCGCGCTCCTCGGCTGGCTGCTGGGGCTGGGGCTGCTGCTGCGGCTGGGGCTGAGCGGGGCGGCGGCGGCGCCGTCGGAGCTGCGGGTGCGAGTGCGGCTCCCCGACGGGCGGGTGACGGAGGAGAGCCTGCAGGCGGACAGCGGCGCCGACTGCGTCAGCCTGGAGCTCCGGAAGAGCGACGGGACGCTGGTCAGCCTGACCGCCGACTTCAAGCAGGTGCGCGGACGCCGTCCGGGGCTGGAGGGGGGGGGGCTGGTGGGGAGAGGAGAGGACCTAGAGGGATCCCGTACAAGAAACGGGGAGTCAGCGGGAAGGAGGGGGGGATAAACTCCCCTCCCACTGAGCCTCCCCACTCCCGCCCCCCCCCCCGGTGCGAGGAAGCCTTTTACTCTCCGGTAAGGAAAAAAGCTGCCTTGATCAGCTCAGCTTTCATCCAGCCAAAGGGATCCGGGCGGTGTCGTTTGCTCCTGCTGCGTGGGATGATGCTCTCGACAACCCTGTGAGGTAGGCCTAGAGAGCTTGGCTGCAAGCACCCGGGACTGAAACCTGGTTTCTTGGGTCGACTTCACCCTTGGAAGGAGAGTCCCTGGCTTTGCAGCCCACCCTGGTTAAGATTTGACCCCATAATGCAGCTGGTGGAGAGAGTCAATGGCTGGAAAAAAAGAGGACTTGAAAGGCTTTTGGTCATTTGCTCGCTCATCAAATGGGAACTTCCAGATGTGGAGGGAGGGGGGGAAATGTGGTGGGGAGGGGCTTTCCTTCAGAAAAGTGAGTTTGGCAGCTAAAACTCGGTGGAAGTTTGCAATTGTCTTTATCTTTCCATGTTGGATGCTTTTTATCCTCCCATTTTTTCCCTGTTCTTGTGCTTCCCCCCCCTCTTTTCACACCAGCCCTGTTGAGAAAATGTGTCTAGCTGACAGGGAGTTCCCACCTGGGTCCTCCTCCTCCTCCTGCCCCCCCCTCCCCCAGCCTCCAGGGTTCTTCCCATATTGCATCTTCAGCTTTCAGATCTGCTCAGATCACAGCATTTTTTTTCTGTGCAGTTGCTCCCAGACTTCAAAAGTTTCGTTTTCTTTTCCAAGCCCTCAAAAATATATATTTAAAAAAAAAAAAATCCCCCGCATTTCTCCCATGGCTGTATTCTCCCTGACCTGCTTAAAAGTTGGGACATCAGGCAGATTACAAGACTTGGGAATCGCCTGGAGGTGTATGCCTAATTAACTTGAGTCACATGTTGTACTAACCACAATCAGAAGCCAAGATAGCTGAGCTGGACTCTGGGAATCTGGGAAACCATATACCACTGTTGGGCAATCAGCTGATTCAGCCCAGCCCCAAATCTGCAAGCTTCTTCTGGTTCCTTCTGTTGTGTTCCAGTAGTAGCTGAGGGTTGAACTGAGGAGTCTTTGGTGCTCTCTGAGCTTGTTTGTTTTCTTGTAGATGTTTCACAGCCCAGCTAAGTAACATCATCTGTGCTAGAAGGGGATGGAGTTTGTAGGGAGGGTGAGGAGGAGGGGGGTCCTTAGTGCTCTCTGAGCTTAATGGTTTTCTTGCAAACATTTAATGACCCAACTTGGTAACATCTTCAGTGCTGGAAGGCCTAGGAGAAACCCACTCCCTTCTAGCACTGATGATGTTAGCTAGTTGGGTCGTGAAACCATTTATCACCTAGTTAAGAAATGTCCTTAAAGAGAGAGGGGACTTCCACCCATCTAGCTGCAAGCACTGGAGGTCTCCCTGGGGAGGCCACATCCATGCAAAATAACACACGGCCTGGACTTTGTCTTGAGAACAGAGAGAGACTCTTGAGCAGTGGTTCTCAACCTGTGGGTCGGGACCGCATTTGGGGTCGAACGACCATTTCACGGGGGTCGCCAAACAATGCAGTCCGCCATTTTTCCCCCTTTTCCTTAGCTGGGCTACTCCCTTTTATTCTATTGGCTTTTGAAAGCCAATAGAATAGACTCTCTTGAATAGAGTCTAATTCTATTGGCTTTCAAAAGCCAATAGGAATTGTCCAGGCTGTCTCTGCCCTGCTGAGCCCGCCAAAAGTCCCATTCTGCAAACGGTGCTGCACCAGTTGAGTAGTCTTCAACTTACGACCGGTTGAGTAGTCCTCGACTTACGACCAGTTGAGGGGCGCGGCATTAAAAAGGTTGAGAATCACTGCTCTTGAGAGAGACTTTGGGCCTCTGCTTATCAACATGGACCATTTCCCCCAATCTTTATGGGGAGGAGTTATCTTCTCTTTGGTGAGTGTATCTGATGAGCTGGCCAAGATCACAGGAACAGCCTTGAGAAGATACAATCTTTCCCATTCTCCAGTGAGGGAATGAGACAGTCTCTGGCTTGGAACCACCCCTCCTTTGTAAACACATAGATGGAAAGGCCGGAGATAGTTGCTGGGAAAGAGAGAGGTAATCTCCTGCCCCCCCCCCCAATCAACTCAGGGCTAGCCCAAGAGCTACTACTGGTTAGGAACACCCAAGCACTGACAGTGATGGATATGAAATAATTCTTACTGCCAGGAAGACAGAATAAATTATAGAGCAAAGGTCACCTGGGAAAGTTCTCTAATCTTTTGAGGAAAGTCCAATTCTGCTCACTTCTTTCTCTTGAAGAAAATACCTTTGGAGGTATTGAAGATCTCTCGTGGAAATGCAACATCTGCCTACTTTTCATATCTAGCTTGGGAAATTGACTTCTGCAACTTTTGGCATGGCTTCTTGGAATGTCATTTCTCCAATTTGGTGCCTTCTCAAGAGGTTGAAAGATCCTGAATAACAATAATAGAGTTAGAATCTCTTAGTCCAACGCCTTGCTCAGGCAGGAGATCCTATACCATTTCAGGCAAGTGATTGTTCAATCTCTTCTTCAAAACCTGCAGCGTTGGAGCACCCACAACTTCTAGACTAGAGGCAAGCCATTCCACTGGTTAATTGTTCTTGTTGTCAGGAAATTTCTCCCTAGTTCTAGGTTGGTTCTCTCTCTGATAGGTTTCCATCCGTTGCTTCTTGTCCTGCCTTCAGGTGCTTTGGAGCATAGGTGGACCCCATCTACTCTGTGACAGCCCCTCAAATATTGGAAGACTACTTTCATGTCACTCCCTAGTCCAGTGATGGTGAACCTTTTAGAGACCCAATGCCCAAACTGCAACCCAAAACCCACTTATTTATCACCGGGTGCCGGGTGGGCATGGCCGCGGTGGTCATGGCAGACTGGGTGGGCGGGGTCAGGGCGGCGGGGGCCAGTCCCTCGCCATCTCTGGGGCATGGCACGTGTGCCCACAGAGAGGGCTCTGAGTGCTGCCTCTGGCACGCGTGCCATAGGTTCGCCACCACTGCCCTAGTCCTTCTTTTCATTAAACTAGACATGCCTAATTTCTGCAACCGTTCTTTGTATGTTTTAGCCTCTAGTCCCTATGCTGTAATGGAAGCGCTCCAAAATGTTTCCTGCCCAACTGGATGATAGGGTCTGATCCTCAGTCTTCATCCCCTGCCCCCAATTGATTGTGATCTTTGGCCACCTAAAGGCTGTCCACCCACTCTTGGTCCAGAAGTCTCTTCTAGGTGGACTGGTTTAAACATTAGACCACTGGTTCTCAACCTTTTTCATGCCGCGACCCCAACCGGTCGTAGGTCGATGACTACTCAACCGGTCGTAAGTCGAGGACTACTCAACTGGTGCAGCACCGTTTGCAGAATGGGACTTTTGGCGGGCTCAGCGGGGCAGAGACAGCCTGGACAATTCCTATTGGCTTTTGAAAGCAAATAGAATTAGACTCTATTCAAGAGAGTCTATTCTATTGGCTTTCAAAAGCCAATAGAATAAAAGGGAGTAGCACAGTTAAGGAAAAGGGGAAAAAATGGCGGACGGCATTGTTTGGCGACCCCCGTGAAATGGTCGTTCGACCCCAAATGGGGTCCTGACCCACAGGTTGAGAACCACTGCATTAGACCTAAGTGTCTGGCCTAATCCAAAATGGGTTTTCTCCCCCTCCCCCCCCTCTCTTTTGCACTTCTTGAATACATACAGAAGAAAGCATTTTTAGCAAATGGTTGGTGGAAAAATAAATATTGTTATTGACTGCTTTCACCATTGCCTTGTGGGGCTGCCATTAAATCAGACATGAAACATCATCCCGTTTGCAGGCATTTGGAGACAACTGAGTGATTGGGTGGAAAATCCTTCGAGTTGAACTCTTCATAAGGAATTCCATGGTTGGCCTCCCCACCTTCTCTTTTCCTTGTTCTTCAGTCTTGCATGAAAATGTTCTAAAGCAGAGGTCTCCAACCTTTTGGGTACCAGGGACCAGTTCCGTGGAGAAAGGTTTTTCCACGGACCGGAGAGTGTGTGGTTGTGTGTTCTGCCTGCATCTCGCGGATGGGACTTTGCTCGTTTGTGTGGACCAGTTGGTGGCATGCCATGGCCCAGTACCAGTCCACAGATCGGGGGTTGGGGACCCCTATTCTATAGTAACTCTTTAGCACTTCAGAGTTGCTCCCTTTCCTTTTTTATGGCCTTGCCCACTGGCTACAAGTTGATTGCCACTATGGACAAACTGCCCGAGAAGATACACCCGTCAAGGAGGAAGGAAGTTCAGACATGACATTTGGGATTCCCCGTTTCTGGATTTAACCAAGAGGTGACTTCTCTCTTTTAGAGCCAAGGACAAAGGTTCCTTGTGTGAGAAGATTGGAGGCGGATCTTGCTAAGATCTTATTAAGTAGCAAAATATGGAGAAAGTGCTATTCAGGGAGAAACTGTGTCAGGACAACCTATAGTGTCCCCTGGCCTCTCTCCCCCTCCCCCACACTTTCTCTTTCTTTAGTGAAGGGGGGGTCTTAAATGTCACCCCAGAGTGTTTCTCCTTTTCTTTTCTGCTACCTGCAAAGCCACTTCTAAAGTAGGAGAGGGAGGGAGGGAGGAAAGAAGGAAGGAAGGAAGGAAGGAAGGAAGGAAGGAAGGAAGGAAGGAAGGAAGGAAGGAAGGAAGGAAGGAAGGAAGGAAGGAATTCTTGGTGAGGTCATCTTTAGAAAAATTCATATTCCACTTGCACCTTCTGTGATGCACTATGAACACTGGAGGAGAATTTAAGTGACTGTTCGTTCATTATCACTTCACCATACCAGGGATTAATTTCTAAGAGGACAGGTACAAAGGGATGGTGAAATTAGCCCCAAAGAAGCTGATCCCTATGGCTGCAGAGCCAATTA